TCGCCAAGACACTTGCCACATTGCAAGTGCTTAATAGCCACATATCACTAGTGGCTGCCATATTGTACAATGCAGTGAACATTTCCATCATTACAGAATGTTCTACTGAACAGTGCTGCTTTATAAATAAACCCTCTACAGGAAATCACAGAACGATTGTCAAATACCTCTTAATATGACTGCAAAAAGTCTGTGGTCTATTATTTTGGATTGACTCATTTCCCAGAAACACCTTGAACCTTAATAAATTGTTGTAAATTTCATAGTACTCTGTACAACATGCTCCTTCACTGAATCACAACCCTTTCCTTCCTTGCCTCCTCCCAATGTCTTTCTTACCTCTTATCCTCACATCACTTACTAGAAGGCATAAGATGCAGGGAAAATGTTCCTTGTATGTTCTTGAGTCAGTGTTCAGAAAGAACTGGAGTAAAGAGGCTTCATTCTTTCATCAGGGAGATCTTTTAAACTAGGTTGAGCCCAGAAGATGAAACAGGAGAAATAATGTTTGAGTCTCCAAACCTAGAGGAACAGTGTAAAAATGGAAGGACTTATCCTTTCAACCGCTGGGAGTGCAGCCAGCTGTTAGTCCTCAGCTGTCTCGTCATCAGCCCTGTCCAGCTCCATCCAGGCTTTTGCTGTAGAGAAATGCCTTATGTAAAGTCAAGTGTCTTTCCTGGGAGAAGTTTACATCCAATAACTGGTAGATGGGGATTAAAAAGTCCAGCTCACTTCTCTTCAGTCTGAAGGTCGAGTCCAGCCTTAGAGCTCCCTGTGGAGCTCACATTTGTTGTGGCTGCATCTCAGTCTTCTCCCTGCCTAATCCTGTGCTCTTCTCTTCTCTCTCAATTGTTTATCCTGGACACATTCCCTAAAAAACTCCCTTTATCTTCATTTTATCTCCATCTCCACAATCTGCATTCCTTGGAAGCCAACCTTTTGCATGTGCACACATTCCTATAACCTATATTAGGAAACTTATTAATATAATTTACAATATGAGTAGGTCAAAAGAAAAAATTATGAAATTATCTCAATCAATATTAAAATAATTTTTTTCAAATTTCCACTTCAGATAAAGGCTTTTAATGAAACAGGACTAAATAAAGTATATATGCACTGATTTTAAAATAAACTAATTCATTGCCAATAAATGATCACAGTATCAGTATTAATGATATTAGGTGCTCTACAGTTAAAATAAAAAATAAAAACAAGACAGTAGCTCACTTTTTAAAAGATAACAACCAGTGCAATTATAAAAGAGAAAGTAACATGAGATATTTTTGAAAATAGGATGATAAAATTATAATTATTTGTGACTGAATCTATGATAAGCCTAGAAACTCCAAGATAATCAAAGGAAATAAAAGCATTTCTAATACTGAATTAGCTAGTTATAAAATTAATTTATTAAAATTTATTGCACTTCTACTTACAAAATAAAAGCCCTTTAGAAAAATATGGTAGATGGATAAATTCTAATTTAGAATAAAAATGTAAAAAGTTAAAGTCTCGGGAACAAACTTGGTAAGAAATGCATGTGCTTTAGGTGAAGAAAGACTCCTAATATTCCTAATACTCTACTGAAAGACACAGAAACTTCCAAAGTGCTATAACATCAACAATGCATGAAAGTTCTGGTTGTTCCAATTTCATTGTCTTTTTATTTCTTATTTTAACCCTTCTGAGTGATATGTAGTGTTACCTCATTCTGAGTGAAATTGGCATTTTCCTAATGACAAGATAGTCATCTTAGACGGACGTGATGACTCAAGCCTGTAATCCCGGCACTTTAGGAGGCAAAGGCGAGAGATTTGCCTGAGCTCAGGGGTTCGAGACCAGCCTGAGCAACATGGTGAGACCTCGTCTTTACAATTTAAAAAAATCAGCCGGGTATTATGGTGCATGCCTGTGGTTCCAGTTACTTGGAAGGCTGGCGAAAGTATCTCCCAAGCCCAGTAGGTCAAGGCTGTGGTGGCCATGAGTGTGCCACTGCACTCCAGCCTGGGCAACAGAATGAGACTCTGACTGAAAAAAGAAAGATATTCAGTTTGTTTACATGTGCTTCTTGGTAATTTGTATACTATCTTTTGTGAAGTATCTGTTCAATTTTTGTCCGATTTTAGTAGATTATGTGCCTTTTTCAAATTATTCATTTATATGAGTTCTTTATCATGAATAAATCTGTTTCCAGATATATTTTTGTGAATATTTCCTTCCCAATCTGAAGCGAGGTTTTCTTCCTTTCTCTTTTCCTTCCTCCCTTTCTCTTCTCTCTCGCCATCCCTTTCTCTCTCTCTCTCTCTCTCTTTCGTAAGCATTTGAAGCTATTTATTTCCCTCTGAGCACTGATTTAATTGCATCCAACAAATTATGTGGTTTTATTTTCATTATCAATCAGTTTTTAATTTTTGAAACACTTGAGTATAAGCTAGACACCATCGCTACTGATTTCTTATGTGATCCAATAGTCAGAAAGCATATTTTGTATTGTTTCAGTAATTTCAAATTTATTGAGATGATTTTATTTTCCAGCATATTGTCTGTCTTTATGAATGTAGAGAGGCACTTGAAAAAATATATATATCCTGCAGTTGTAAGGAATAATGTCCTATAATTACATCAGGATGGTTAATAATGCTTTTGTGATCTTCTATATCATTGTGAATTTTTGGTCAAGTTATATCAGTTACTTAAAAAAGGATATTAAGATTTCCAACAATTTGTGGGTTTTTTTCTTTTTCCCTCTAGTTCTGACAATTTTTGCTTTATGTATTTTGAAGCTCTCTTATTAGATGCATGCATATTTATCAATTTTGTGTTTTTCTGTAAAAAAAAGTATTTTCTCCTTAAAACTAGAGTCGCAGAAAAGGAAGATCATAATTCTTTCTCTAAACATTGTTGTATCTGAGTATAAATCATGGAACTACAAATCAATATTTTTCCCAAAGTGAAGATAAAGCCAACACTGAAAATGGACAAGCCGGGCTTGGTGGCTCAGCCTGTAATCCTGCGCCTTTGGGAGGTTGAGGTGAGTGGATTGCCTGAGCCTGCGGGTTCGAGACCCGCCTGGGCAGGCGAGACCTCATCTCTACAATAAATCAAAAAAATCAGCCGGGTGTGGTAGCGCTCGCCTGTAATCCCGCCTACTCGGAAGGCTGAGGAGGAAGGATCACCGGAGCCCAGCAGGTGGAGGCTGCGGTGGCCGGGAGCGGCCACTGCACTCCAGTCTGGGCGATGGAGTGAGACTCCACCTCAAAAAAAAAAAAAAAAGAAAAGAAAAGAAAATGGACAAGTAGAACGATGAAATGAACATTGGTCATGTTGCTGATTCAGTGAATTAATCAATCCTGCAGACTGCCTTGGACTCCTATTTATATTATCCAATAGCCTTCACATATAAACCAAAAGTATTTTTTGTTTCAGAAAAGCAATGCTGTGCTCTTTTTGTATTCTAAGATAATAGTTTTTCTTATACTGTATATAAGTGCTTTACTGGATTTTATATATAATTTTAAAAATTGGTGGGCTTTGGGGTTGATGTTTATTGAATTATATGTGTCCTGAATATAAAACAATAAGAAATAGGTCTCAGTTAGTGTTTTTACAAAAATTTTTATTTTTCATAATAGATTACTGATATTAAGCAGGAGTTGTATTGTTCTTTAAGCACAGTTAAGCGATTGCACAGTAAAGGATCTGGAAGAACAGAAAATAAAGCAATAATAGTGTGTTATAAAGGTAGTGGTGTTCACCCAGGTTCCATGGACTCCAGTGCATTTCCCAGCCTCCTTTATAGCATGTGATTATTCCTGTTCAGGAAAAAATGTTGGGAAAGAATGTAACGTGTCACTACTAATCTGGGATATTTAAACACAATATGAATTCCGTGTTCTCTCTTCCCCTGCTGTGCTGACTGTCTTAGATATTAAAAAAAAAAAGAACATTTGGACAATCTCATTTATTTTATTTTATTGTTTTGAGTTGGAGTCTCACTCTTGTCGCCCAGGCTGGAGTGCAGTGGCATGCTCACGGCCACCACAGGCTCGACCTGCTGGACTTAAGCAATCCTTCCACCTCAGCCTTCCAAGTAGCTGGAACTACAGATGCACACCACCACGCCCTGCTAGGTTTTGTGATTTACTGTAGAGACAAGGTCTCACCAAGTTGCACAGGCTGGTCTCCAACCCCCAGACTCAGGCAATCCTCTCACCGCAGCCTCCCAAAGTGCTGGGATTATAGGCTGAGCCACCACACTCAGCCAGTAATCTCATTTTAAATCCTTGGGTCGTTCTTCCTGAATATAAGCACTCCAGATTATTATTGTAGACATTACCTAAATAATTTCTCCCCAAGTGTATGTTCCCTGAAATTACAAAGCCGAACAGGAAAGAAAGGCCCTGATGCCCGGAAACCACGAGTGAGTTGTGTCAAAATGTTTGGAGGGCTAATGATTGTTATTCACGATCAGACGCAAGCAACACTGGTTCCTCCCAGGTTCCCCTTTCTGTGCCCTCTCCCTCTGTACAGTGCCTTGACTACTATGCTGTCTCCCCTTTCTCAACAGCACATCCGTTTAGAATAGTCCCTGCTGCCAGTGTGAATGAGGCTTAACCCTCCTCAGAGGAGCATTTGCATTTAGGCAAACTTCTAACTGTTGGAACATAGCCCTGGAACCCAGGTAGGAAGGAATAAAATCTATCAACTTCCCCAGCATCCCTGCCTTTCTTTCCTGTCCAGATGAAATCATTCAAATACTCTTTTTTTAATTTTAGGAAAATTAGTCCATATGGTAGCAAATAACCACTGATTAACCTTCACATTTGAACTGTTTATTTTGTATATATGGCATAAAAGAGAATTTCAAACACAGACATGTGGTGGGGCTCTTTTGCAGTCAAGAAGCTCAACAAATATTAAAAAGAGGAAGAAAACAGAATATAGTTTGTTTTACTTTTTTTTTCCTTCGAGCTGAGCCAGAAGGCAACGGGTTTAAACAGGGAGCACTCTGTTTCTTCTGACAGCAAATCAGGTAAGCCTACATTTACAAACAGTTCTGCAATGTTGATTTCTAGGTCCTAGGCTATGTACAAAAATTTTCTTTTTTTTTAAAGAACAAATTTGCTCTCTATTAAGGGAAACAGTTTAAAGTGTCTACCTTTAGCTTAAGTGAAACTAGTTTACAGGATAACTGTACATAATTTATTTTACACATTTCTGGCAGAGAGTTTCCTTAGCATAAGTCATATATAAAGTGCTAACTGGGAAGACTTTGGTCGTTAACGTGTGGTTATAAATTTTCCATGCTAGTATGCTTGGTTTATGCTGATCAGACTTAACAAGAGAAACTATCTCATGCAAATGAACTTATACTTCTCACTGCATAGGAGAAGTTACTGAGCTGCAAGGGCTTCGTCACCGGTGGCTGTTGGGGAATGAGGAACATTTAAGTAATTGATGAATCAAGTGAAGTGTAGTTCTGGTTTAAAGAATTGTGTACTTTCCCAGTGTCATACTCTTAATTCATTGAATTTCTCAGCAAAGACGCAACATGAAGGGAGGAGGTTTGGAGAGAGTAGAGAAGAGAAGGGAAAGAAGCAAAGCAGGAAAAGGAAGGAGAAGGAAAGAGATGTCTGGACCTTAGGTGTGATGGAAGGTACATCTAGAAAGGAAGCTGAAAGAAGTGAAGGCTGTGTAGCCGAGAAAAGCCAAAGAAGGGGCGGGAGGAGAGGAAGGGTGGAAGGCGAGCTGAGCATGAAACCACTTCTCAACTCTCTGAGTGATGTGGGAGAAGTGACTCAATTTCTCTGTAAAATATGAATAATACTCCTCTTCTCACCCACCTTGTCTGTTATGAGTAGACAAGTGAAATATGGTTCTTTAGAAATATAAGACTCTATCATGCTTCAGAACTGAAAAATAATAGTTTCTTGTCTCTCTGTGCCTCAGGAACGCCAATGGACCAAAATAAAGACAGTAACTCTGGTAAGAAAGTGACTTCCTGTGTATGTGTGTGGCTGGCTTCTCTGATGTCGGGCAAAATTTCTTTTAAAAGTGAGGGATCATATTCTAACTCCCCCCACTACCACTACCACCACTATCTCAAGATTGCTAAAACAGTCTACCAGGATCCAAAGTAGGCATCCAAACTTTTCCCTTATGCACAGATCTTTTAGATCTCTTTGGGACATTCCTTCTCCTGCCATTTACTCTTCTCTTCCCTCTCTCTTTCATTCTTTTTCCTCCACTCCCCCCACCCCCCACTATGTCTATTCTCTGTTGTTATGGGTTTCTCTATGCATCTTGACCTCCCTTTTCCCACTCCCTTCTCCTTGCTCTCTGCTCTGTCCCTCACCAGCCCTGTCTTCAGTCTCTTTCATCAAGAAGAATCCAGCTGTCCCTCCCCTCCAAGTTCCTTCCACACTCAACCCCTGACTGTGAGAATAAGGGGATCTCTGGCTTCATTATGTCTGGAATTTGTTTATTTATTCATTTTTAATCAATATTTTTTATTTTGATATTGTGGGGTACAGTTAAGGGTTAGGTATACAAATACATTTCGTTCAGGCACCCTTGTTGATAGTGTCTCCCCGTGAATTTGTTTATTGAATAAGCCAAACTCTGTGAGTTCCAAATGAGAAACCACTTTTTTTTCCTCCCAACATTGCCTCTAATTACACAGACTTGATTTCTTGATGCCATATTAGGTTTATTATTAGTCTAATTAATACAGACTTTTAATACAGACTATAAGAGCAGTTTTATTGACATAACTGTGACACATATTAGGGTGTTGAAATGTTCAATTCAGACTAGTCAAATTTACATTGAATCTAATCTCCCCCTTCCTCTAGCTAAGCATCAACCTGAGCTCTGGTTCCTTCTAGAGGTCTTCCTCCCTTCTAGCTATCCCTTCTCAACCCTCTTGCTATTCCTTTTCCCTGTCAGGCAGGAGGAGGGACAATTGGAGAGAGAAGGTAGAGCTCTTGAGTTCTATTGTCTTTGTAGTTGTCTCTTGGCCAGTACTCACTGTCCTCCTGTACTCCATTATGGCAAGCATTCAAATGGTGCATAGTGTGAGGGGACTATGGAGGACCCATGGAAATCTAAGAAAAATTATAACCTTTCTAAGCAAAATGCTTTTATTTATATGCTATCAGCTGTTTCTTCATCAGTAAAAATAATTTCACACTGCTCATTCTAATATTTTCTTAGTCCAGCCATTTCCCTGGTGGTCATGACCACACTGCCCAGCTAAGGTCAGAGGAGAAATCTCTGGCCACGGAACAGAGACAGGTCATTTGACTCACCTTGAGATAAAGCCCATAATCTTGGTTACACATCTCTGATCTCCAGAAAATTTGTCTTTGAGAGGGCCAGAACTGAGTGACTCAGGCAAACATTATAAGATGAGGAATGTTTCTAATTCCATCTCATCCCCAAGCATGTTTTCCTAGGATCAAATATGGCAATACGCTACAGTTCTAGAAAAATCAACATGCTTTAAAGACCATAAGTAATATGTTTTATTTGATAATGAAGTTAGATTTTATTTCCTAAATGTAATAGATTGTGAGAGTATCTTTTCCCATAATGGGGAATACCTCCTTATCACTAAAAGTATTCCACTGCTATAATCAGTATGATAGTAACACAGTAAACTTGTTCCCAACAGGATCATGTATGAAGAGACGACATGCCAGGAAATCAGAGCTGAGAATCATTCTGGTGGGCAAAACAGGAACTGGCAAAAGTGCTACAGGGAACAGCATCCTTGGGAAACAAGTATTTGAGTCAAAGCTGAGTGCCCAGACCTTAACTAAGACTTGCAGTAAAAGTCAGGGAAGCTGGGGAGAGAGAGAGGTGGTCATTATCGACACTCCAGATATGTCTTCTGGGAAGGAGCACTCTGAAGCCCTGTACAAAGAGGTGCATAAGTGCTACTTACTTTCTGCACCAGGACCCCATGTGCTGCTACTGGTTACCCAGTTAAGCCGATACACAGCTCAGGACCAGGAAGCTGCTCAGAGGATAAAGGAAATCTTTGGAAAGGATGTTATGGGACACACAATTGTCCTCTTTACTCGCAAGGAAGACCTTGAAGGGGGCTCCTTGATGGATTACATCCGTGAGTCAGATAACAAATCCCTAACCAAGCTGGTGGCAACATGTGGGGGTCGAGTCTGTGCCTTTAATAACCGTGCTGAAGAGAGTGAACGAGATGACCAAGTGAAGGAGTTAATGGATTTAATTGAGGGTCTGATGATAGAGAAAAGAGGTGATCACTATACCAATGGTCTGTATAACCTAATACAAGGGTCAAAATGTAGACCTGTGAAGTCAGATGAAATATTAAAGGATTTCAAAGAGAATCTTATAAAGCACATGGAAATACAGAGACATTGCACAACCTTGGTCAAAGCAAATTGTCTAAAAAGAGTCCTAATCAAAACACAACAGTGTATTTTATTTTGTATTCAGTTGTTTGTCAAATTGTTAATTCTGTTATTTTATGTGTTATATAACATGTGCAATTTTGTGTATTGCTTCCTCTTTAGTATATGCAATTTATTCTTCAGCTTACTGTTTATTGTACTAAAAAAGTTAATGATAATTTTGAGAAAGATTATTAAACTAGAATATAGGACTCCTTGTTCATAGTTTCAGCTTTCAGTAATTATTTACTCACTATCATTCAGTGGGTGAATCACAGTGCCTTCCCTGTAAAATGTACCTGGTGTCATACTTGAGATTCTGTAAAATGTTAAAATCTTAACATATCCCCCCATTTATTAATGAACCAAATTATTCTAAAAGTTAGTTTGCATTGAAATATGATATCAAAACATATCAAAAGCTGTAAGCATAAAATTATTTTTATTTGTAAATCTATAAAGTCAATTTTAAGTTCTTGAAAATTTATTTTCTTCCTTATAATACTATTATATCTACTGAATGCAATAAAATGGCAATAAAATAATAATAAGTAAACTGTAAATTTCCTGGGATCATACATCTTCTCTTCAATGGTTTTTCTCCTCAGAAGATAGTAAGTAACTCATTTTAGCCATATTTTAGCCCTGGTTCCATTCAGACTTAACATTAAAACATACATACAGACATATGCCAGACAAGATGGTAGACTGGAAATTCTGATGCATCATCCTGCTAAATGCAAATAGAGGTCGAGTTCATTAAAGAAACAGAACTTTTATGATTAATAAGTCCACCAGAAAATAAGGGAAATTCCAATGGTTAAATAAATAATATATATATTTTTAAAATGAAGAGTTGAATCTCAGGAGAAATTTGAGTTGGAGTCTCACTCTGTTACCCAGACTGGAGTGCAGTGGCCACTCCCGGTCACCACAGCCTTGATCTGCTGGGCTCCAGTAATCCTTCCTCCTCAACCTTTCAAGTAGGTGGAACTACAAGTGTGTGCTACCACACTCGGCTAATTTTTTATTTATTGTAGAGATGAGGTCTCACCAAGTTGCCCAGGTGGGTCTTGAACCTGCAGGCTCAGGCAATCCACTCATTACTAGGAGAAATAAGTAGCACAGAAGGCAGAGTTGACCAATAGACAAATGCCAAATCAATCCTGAGATCAAGAAACTCAACCTTGGGTTGCTGTTAAAGTTGAAAAACAGAATATGAGGCTTCTATATTAAGTTAGAATCTTCCTAGAAGACAAGAGATATCCAAGATTAGTTGAACTCCTGACTTCCAGTAGGAAGAAACACAAATTTTCTCTAGAAGAAAACATCCCCAATTTACTTGAGTATTCAGTTGAAATAAATTCAATAAACTGAGCCCAAATCATGTCCCTATGAATAAGATAAAGAAGAAAAAAAACCCAACAGGCATAGACTCAAAAAACTTCAATACACAGTATTGAAGCTATGAAATATTTTTTAAAGATGACATATAGCCGGGCTCGGTGGCTCAGCCTGTAATCCCAGCACTTTGGGAAGCTGAGGTGAGTGGATTGCCTGTGCCCGCGGGTTCGAGACCCACCTGGGCAACTTGGTGAGACCTCATCTCTACAGTCAGTCAAAAATTAGCCGGGCGTGTCGTTCCAGCTACTTGGAAGGCTGAGGTGGAAGGATCGCCGGAGCCCAGCAGGTCGAGGCTGCGATGACCGGGAGCGGCCACTGCACTCTGGTCTGGGTGACAGAGTGAGACTCCAACTCAAAAACAAACAAACAAACAAAGAACAACAAAAAAAATGACACGTACTCCAAATAAAAAAGGAGTAAGAAACTATCAAAGATGATGAGATATATTTTTTGTTTATAATTTTTTATAAATTAAATTATCATTTATTTTTTAATTTAATACCCTATTTCCAGTCAAATATTTAATACTCTATTTTGGATCAATTGGAGCAGGTGAATCATAGATCTCAAAGCCCAAATGGGTTGTGGGCACTTCCTGCACCTTTTTCCACCAGCTTTCTGCAGCAGTAAAACCAAATCTCCAGCTTTTTCCTGGAAGAAGCTTGTCCACACGTTGATCACCACAGCTACCACTTAAGGAACTGGCTCCTAAATCACCTTCCTAGGCGAGCTTGCAGGTCTTGGCATCTGCAAGTCTCCTAGGGCAACAGAGAACAAAGAAGTGGTTTTATTATTATTATTATTTTTTTTGAGTTGGAGTCTCACTCTGTTACCCAGACTGGAGTGCAGTGGCCACTCCCGGTCACCACAGCCTTGATCTGCTGGGCTCCAGTAATCCTTCCTCCTCAACCTTTCAAGTAGGTGGAACTACAAGTGTGTGCTACCACACTCGGCTAATTTTTTATTTATTGTAGAGATGAGGTCTCACCAAGTTGCCCAGGTGGGTCTTGAACCTGCAGGCTCAGGCAATCCACTCATCTCAGCCTCCCAAAGCGCGGGATTATAGCCTGAGCCACTGAGCCCAGCCAAAGAAGTGGTTTTAAATGGGTGGGGGAGCACGTCCAGTAACTATTTCCCATGGCTCAGCACAGAGGTCCAAGCTTCTCCTTGCAAGGGTTTCAAATGCACACCCAGCTTCCAGCTTTTCCCTGGAAAGGGTTCAATGGTACACCCATTTCAACTTTCCCAGATACTGCCTATGGGTCAAGACTTTAATTAGCTTGCATCTGGGAGCCAATGGAACAGGTAATTAGGAGTCCTCTGGGAGCCTGAATGAGAATATACGCACTTCCTAAAGCACTTCTCCTTGGCTTGCTGTAGAAATAGAAACAAGCCTCCAGCCAACTTGCCCGTCTATGAGCTGATGAAAGCCAGCATTTGCTAGGCCCCTAGGGGAAGCAAAGAACAGAACAGTGGGATGAAAGAGTGTGCAGTCTAAATGAGCATGCAGGCATCTGCTATAGATACCCTCCCTGCCTTATTCCAGATCAGGTGAGAGATAAACTCCAGCTCCCAGCTTCTCCCTAAGGAGTGAAAACTGGACCACACATCTAGCACCCCAACTTTTCCAGCAGCTTCTCAAGGGCCTGATTTCTATCTCATGGCACTAATGGCACCTGGAACACTCTTCTATGGGTCACAAGAACAAAGACAATGATTTGAGAAACATCTAAAATCTCTGACAAGGCTAACTGGTGTGGTTTATTTCCTACAAAAGGTCAGTCTGACAAGACTTGGAGAGGTGGCTGTCTTATCTAATGTGTAGAAACCAACACAAAGTCAAGAAAAATGAAGAAACAGGAAAATATGTCTCAAACAAAAGAACAAGATAAAAATTCCAGAAGTCAGCCATAATAAAAAGGTTAATAAACCTTATACCCAGCAAAGAATTCAAAATAATGGTCACTCACTTGTACTTGCATGTTTATAGCCCCACAATTCACAATTGCAAAGATGTGGAATCAAACTAAATGCCTACCAACAGAACAGCAGATAAAGAAAATGTGATACAACACACACACACACACACACACACACACACACACACACACACACACCATGGAATATTACTCAGCCATAAAAATAACAAAATAATGTCTTCTGCAATTACTTCGATAAAATTGGAGACCATTATCCTAGGTGAAATAATGCAGCAATGGAAAACCAAATACTGTCTCACTTATAAGTGACAGCTAAGTTATGGGCCTACAAAAACAAAAAGAATGGCATAATGAACATTGGCAACTCAGAAGGAAAAGGCTAGAAGGGAGGTGAAGGATGAAAAATTACCTATTGTATACAAAGGGCACTAGTGGGGCTGGTAGGTGCACTTAAAACCCAGACTTCTTCACTACTATATAATGTCTATGTGTAACCAAAAACCATTTTGTACCCCTAAATCTATTTAAATACAAATTAAAAAAATAAAAATACATTAACAAATAATGGTTATAAAAATGCTCACTTAGTTTAGGAAAGCAATTCAGAGACAAAGTGTGAATTTTAACAAACTGATGGAAAGTATTAAAAAATATCAAACAGAAATGATACTGCTAAAGAATACAATGCCTGAACTGAAAGATTCAATAGAGAAGTTCAATAGCAGACTAAATCAAGCAGAAGAAAGAATCAGCAAACTTGAAGACAAACCACTGGAAATAATCTACACAGAGGAACAAAAAGATATAAGAATAAAAGAGTGAAGAGATCTTAAAGGACTTATGAGATACTGACAAGCAGACCAATATATACATGATTAGAATCCCAAAAGGAGAAAAGAAAAAGAAAGTGGCAGAAAGCTTATTCAAAGAAATAATGGTTGAAAATTTCTTAAACCTGGGGGAGTACATAGAAATTCAGATCTACCCAATGACACCAAAAAAAAGGAACCCAAAACCCACACTGACACATATTACAACCAAATTGTCAGAAGTGAAAGAGAGAGAATTTGGAAGTTAGCAAGAGAAAAGTAATTTGTTATATGTAAGGGAAACTTCATAAGACTAGCTGTCAATTTTTCAGCAGTAACCATGCAAGCCAGAGGTGCATAGAATGATATATTCAAAGTGCTGGGGGCAGGGGCTGGGGATGGGTGAAACTGTCAACCCAAAATTTTATATCCAGCAAACCTGACATTCACAAATGAAAAGGAGATAAAAAACTTTCTCATACAAGCAAAAGCTGAGGGACTTTACCACCACTGGATCTGCCTTACCAAATATGCTAAAGGAGATTCTACAAACTGAAGTAAATGGATGCTAAACAACAACACACATAAACAAGAAAAAGTGAAACTCATTGGTGAAAGTAAATATATAGACAAAAGCAGAATTATGTATTACTATAATGGAGGTGGGAAAACCATTTTAATTCTACTATAAAAGCTGAAAGATAGAAGTATTAAAAGCAACTATAATTAAATTATGTTAATAGATGCAAAATATAAATAGATGTACATTGTGATATCAACAATATATAATGTGAAAGGAGTTGAGGTAAAAACAGTTATTGGATGCAAGTGAAGTTAAATTTTTATCAGCTTAAAATAGATTGTTTTCCCCCGCAGTGTGCAGAGTAAGTGGTGCTGCGACTGCCCCAAAGCTCTTGTGCACTGGTTTTCTCCGAGAAACCCTAGAAGACGCGGCCTTGTCCTGCCAGCCCACTAAGCAAAACTCGTTGGTGATGGGGCAGCCTGGTCTACGAAACCCTCTGCAAAGGAGAACGCAGAGGGTCTCTGGCTCTCTCCCCAGGGGCTGCGGATCCCAATGTCAACAGCCAGCTCTTCACACAGAGCTTGGCCGTTGCCACAGGGGCATCATAGCATCTCGACAGTCACTGCACCCACAGACACAGCAAGCCGCCCATGCCGACATGGCCTCCATGGCGGCCATAGCACATTGTGCCACCCATGCCTGAGGTGATTCACAAATTCAGTCCTTGAAGCCACTGCAGGCAAGATCTGCTGGGATCACTGCCACCTCTGTTGCCACTGTGATGTCCTGCCAGCCATGGGTCTTCTCCTGTGTGCCCTGAGCCAAGCTCCCATCTTGGCCTCTGCTTGACCCCT